CGAGGAGGACAACCTCGAGCGGGTGCCTGTTCATGTGTCCAGCCTACCTCCGTCGGCTGCCCCAGGCGGACACCCGGGCAGCGCCGGCTCCTTGTCGGTGGCTGCCCTTTCTCCGTCCGCGGCCGCCCGCTTTGAGGAGGCAGCGGACGTCTCGACTAACAGTGGTCAGTCGGCTGCCTCCGGGTATCGCGTCTAAGGGATGTTATTCCTCCTGCATGCTCCTGCTGCTTGTTGCTTGATTGCTTTACCCTTAGGCTGCTTGTCTGCGCGGCTTCTCGCTTGGGCTGGCGATGCCGCGTCTGGGTGCCAGCAGTGCTGGTTCTTTTCGGGCTTGTGTTTTGTGTGTGTTTGTGCAGCTTCTCGCTGTGAACTGTGTACCTGCCGGTTCAGCTTGTTCCTGCTTTGTTTTGCTTGAGGCACTTTTTATCTTCTGCCAGTAAATCCTGTCCTATCAGCGCCTCACCATGCAGCTTACGCTGGAGGCGCTCTTGTCTGGTGCGAGGCGCATGACGCCCTTGCGGGCGCAAGCACTTCTCGAGCCAGAGGACAGCTCCTCCTCGGACTTTGTCGAGTCGCCCGAGGAGTCTTCGCCGGAGGTCTCCGACTCCGATGGGGGACACCCTTCGAGTGGCCCCGACGATCGGCGCGGAGCTGGCGAGGCGTCTCCGTCCCTCACTGTGACGTCGGGTGCCTCCGGAGAGCTCGACACCACTGGGGTGCTTGCTGCTGGTCCGAGCTCGCCTGCTTCCTCCCCGGGCATCGGTCGGGTCACGCCAGTCCCTTGGGCATTGGGGCGGGGTCGCCGCCGTCACGGGCGGCTACCACTGACTCGGCTACCGCTGACTCGGAGGCTAGCGAGGAGGACTACCTCGAGCGGTACCGTGTTCATGTGTCCAGCCTCCCTCCGTCCGCTGCCCCAGGCGGACAACAGGGCAGCGCCGGCTCCTTGTCGGCGGCTGCCCTTTCTCCGTACGCGGCCGCCCGCTTTGTGGCGGCAGCGGACGTCTCGACTGACAGTGGTCAGTCGGCTGCCTCCGGGTATCGCGTCTAAGGGATGTTATTCCTTTGTTTTGCTTGAGGCACTTTTCATCTTCTGCCAGTAAATCCTATACACATTCCTCCTGCATGCTCCTGCTGCTTGTTGCTGGATTGCTTGACCCTTAGGCTGCTTGTCTGCGCGGCTTCTCGCTTGGGCTGGCGATGCCGCGTCTGGGTGCCAGCAGTGCTGGTTCTTTTCGGGCTTGTGTTTTGTGTGTGTTTGTGCAGCTTCTCGCTGTGGACTGTGTACCTGCCGGTTCAGCTTGTTCCTGCTTTGTTTTGCTTGAGGCACTTTTTATCTTCTGCCAGTAAATCCTATAAGGACCTCTCCAGCTACTATGGAGACTGCTGACCTTCGACTCTTTCACAAAAGTCAGTCAGCCTCCGTTCAGTGTACCTCGGGCGTCTGTCAGGGCGATGTCCCCTCCAGCGTATTTTTCTGCCACAGTATCCACCCCCTGCTCCTCCATATCGCAGAGCTTTTTCCCTCTGTTCGAGTCTTGGCCTATGCTGACAACGTCGTGCTTGTCGGTCCACTCGAGGATGCCGTTGCAGCTACGTCCGCTATGAAGAAGTACATGTTAGCTGATCTGAAGCTAGAGATTCAACCTCGCGAGTCGAAAGTTTACATCCCCTCCTGGCATCAACACCCTGATCTCTCGCAGCTGAAGAAGAGCCTTAAGCGCCGTCTCAAGACTCAACTTCTTCACTTCGAGGTCGTCACTGGCGGGATTACACTTGGCGGCCTGCCTATCGGCACGGATGGATTTCATGCTAGTCAGCTCCGAGCGAAGGTTTCTACCCTCAACGAAGAGCTCTCGAAGCTCGGGCTCGTCCAGCATGGCTTCATGTTCAAGACGCTGGTGAGGGCGAGCCATCTCCAGAAGCTGCGCTTCTTCCTCCAGGGGTCTTCTCCGTTTCTCCCGCGGGTCCAATCACAGATTCGTCGCTTTGACCTCTCTGTCCACCTGGCGCTTGAGAAATACCACCGCTGGCCTTCCTCGCAGTACCTTGCCGCGCATCCCGACCTGCTAGAGTTTGCGAGGTTCAAGCGGGAGCTTCCGCATAGTCGGGGAGGGGACGAGTTCACGCCCTCTGAGGGTCTACACCCCGCTGTTTACTATACGGCTATCGCTCGCTTCCTCGCTTGGTACTCTGACCAGCCGATGTCCCGGATGTTGCCCTCTCCTCATAGCCTGGACGTTCACTGCTCGAGATCT